TAAGTTGGGGAAAGAATTGTTATCACTTTATCAGAAAAATCAGACAATGTGATTAGCTAATAGCATTCTCTGCTGAAACTGTCGAATGTTAAAATCTTGACAACATATATAGAAGGCACATACAAATAGTACATGGAGGAAAATCTACTCAAAGCCAAGGAATCTATTTAAGAGGAGAAGGTGTCAATAATGGTTGTGTGAAGGGGGTCACTCAAGTGGGTAGCCCAGTTGTTGAGAGGACCTTTGCCTGTTACAGCAGCTTGGACTGCAAAGCCCAGGAAAGCAACCATGGCAAGGCGAGCATGTTTGATCTCAGCCAATTGAATGGTGGCCTTCTTCTCTGGGTCAGAGGCCAAGCCAGGAGGGTCAAAGTACTTTCCTTCAGGGTACAGCCTCTTCTCAGGGTCAAGCTCTGCGTTCCTTTGGAACTCAATGTATCCAATCACCAAGACTTCGATCCAAATCAATGTTGTTATGGAGAATGGAAGGGCTTGGCCGAGGTAAGATGAACCCTCAACTAGTTCCACCTGAAATAACCAAACAATTTCTGTTATTTGTCTGAGTTCCCTCTGCTAGCTAGCAAAATTTACGTTGACCATTTCACAATGATTTCCGTGCCACATTTTAAATATGTAAATCCGCCATAACTACTTCACGATCAGATAAATTTGCAGAAGGATCAAGAGAAAAATGTTATGTGAAAAGAAGGCTGTTAAAACATGCAGCAAAAGAAAACAAGTACATATGTACTATACTCATCAAACAAGCAACGGTAAAGGCATGCATCTCAGTTTCAACAATATTTCTAACAAATCCATCAACAAAGGCGTTGGAAATTAACCTTGGCAGATTAATCAAGACATTTTGCTTGCTTTACTATCGCTGTTTCTTAAAAAATTGTTTGCTGTCATTGAAACTTCCGAGCATTTTCCAGTTCTTTCTCTCATGGTTTTGCAGCCTTTCTTAATGTTAGTTAGCAGTTAGTACTTAGTACAGATCTTTTATCCAGAGTATCTCAATTATGCTACAAAAAAAAAAAGGTTTCTAAAAACATTCAAGGGCAGTAGGTAGTTGAAAACTAACCTTGCCAGCATCTTGCCAGGTAACTCCAGTAAGACATTCGACAGCTAGCGCACCGAAAGTAGCCAACATGGCCCACCGTCCATGAATCAGCTCACACTCACGGAACCTCTGCAGACCAAACACCTCGCTGTAGGGCTGAAACGGTGTTGCTTTTACGTCCGCAACCTCTGTCCTGGTCCCAATGATCTCACCTGCCAAGTTCTTTGCCAAGTTCTGGTCCAAAGAATCCAAATCATATTGCAAGTACTCTGCAGGCTTCCCCAACCCAAAAGGGTCGATAATGTCACGCCCCGAATCAAGGTATAACACGATTATATTATCTTGAAGTAAAATCTTAAAGCAATACGAAACCTAATCCATAATCATTGAACAACTCTCAAATATAAAAAATTTTCATTAAGTAACATAGCTAGATAACAAGTCTCCAAAGGTTTAAAGTCGAGTATTACAACTAAAATAAATAATATTTCATAAAATCCTATATTTCTAAATAGTTCTCCAATGCTCGATTCTTCTAGCTTTTCTCAAGCTAATCATACTTATCATTCATAACATCTGTAAAAAAAAGAAAATAGGGAATGAGCAAACTACAGCTCAGTAAGTAAAGGCTCACACACCTTATCGGATCAAACATCGTTTCATACATGTCATATAGATCATTCAAAACATTCATCAAATCATAATATCAAAACATCTCAATATCATCGTTCTGTCAAACATTTCGTAAATTCATAAATCATTGTAAAATATGTTATCATTCAAATATCGTAGTCAAACCAAATCATGAATTAATAAAAAAAAAATCATCGTAAATCATCATTATCATAAATCATCATTATCAATCAAATCGTTATCATTCAAATCGTTAGCTACAGTCACTGCTATAACCCGTGACATTGGCCGTATCGACAATTCTATTCTCATGATCATTGCTAACTATTATAACCTATTAGCAAGGGCTTACGCTAACTACTATTACCCGTTAGCCAGGGTCGTAGAACTAAGTTCTGGTATGCATGATCCCACTTTCCAGGGATATAAAAACGTAGCCATCATAAAATCATTCTTTAAACATAAATCATTTTCTCATTTCATTCATAAGCATGATCTATCATTTATATAGAGAAACACAAAATAATCATATGTTTGATCCTATTTTCATACATTGAAAATAAAGAAATAAAACATTCTTTCATTTAGAAACACGTATATATACATAGATTCGAAAACAAGCAAAGTGTGTGAGATTATACTTACCTTCTTCTGATTCCACCACCTAATTTTTTTCCCTCAAAATTTAGTGGCCTATTCAAGATAATTCCAACATAACAATAATTAATCAACCCATTTGAGGCCACTTATACCAAAACAATTAAATTAAACAAGTAATAACTCGAGTAATTAATTCTGGCAGTCTGCGCTACTTTCACTAAAACGACCATAACTCAAGTTATCCAATTCGGAATTAAAATCTTATTAATGCGTTAGAAACTAGACTTGACAAGCTTTCTAACCATATATGGCTCATCTCGTGATTCTTTGTGGATTAATTATAACAATTTTTGTAATCCACGTCATATACTGTTGCCAGACAGCCTGTATACCTTTTCATAAAAATTACGTATTTATTCATAGGTAACTCCAAATTCAATTTCGTTTATTTCATTAGAAAGTAGACTCAATAAGCTTTCCAAACATATATGGCTTAAATTGTAAATCCTTGTATAAAAATTTAGGAAAATTTCGTAATTCCTCCTTACTGCTGCTACTAGGCAGCCTGCACCTCCTTAGGTAAAAATTGGATAACTCTTCATAGGGAACTCGAATTCGACTCCCGTTTGTTTCATTAAAAAGTAGATTCAACATGCTTTCCAACCATATATAGTAATCATAGTAGTATTTAACCCTTTAATACAGAATATAACCTTAATTCATCACTACAAACACATGATTCATATCAGAATTTATACGAAACAAAGATTTTCCTTTCTATTCCCATCAAATTTCTGTTTCAACAATAAATTCACATTACCAATTTTCTCAACACTTAACTTGACTCTAATTAAAGTCTAAATCATCTGCCCAAAGAGGGATAATGAAAACCCTAAAATTTTAGGGTTTCTCAATTATAATTTACACTTTAAGACTTAATCATCAATACTCCAAAAATTAAAAAAGATTATTTACTCACTTCTAACAAATAATTTTTCCTTGTAAATTTGTTCTTCCCTTCACTTGAAATCCTTCAATTGATCTATTCTGTTTAAGAAACATATGAGAAACAAATTTTTGTTTTTATTACGACTAATCGTCGACTGAAAACTGAAAAGTTAATTCTATTAATAAAAAAATTTGAATTATTTATCAATAAATCCTCTGCACTTCTCATTCTTTATTACAGAATCTCCCACTTATAAAAATACTCAAAATAATCTTTTTTTTTTTTTTTCGGGTATTACACATAATCACCAACCAAGCTCCCGTCTAGCCAATCGGGTGCTACAGCTCCTAGATACCATAGAGGAAGGAGGTTGGTTTTGAGACTTTCTTGGCAGCTTTCTTGCCACCAAAGCCGAACCTGGCCACGACTCTGCCTGAGCTTGTGTAGACGTCAAGGAAGCGGGTGCCCATGAAGGAGGATGTAGCGGCGGCAGTGGCTGTGGTAGCCATTGTTCGAAGGAAGCTAAAGTGAAGTGAAGAAAGGGAATGGGAAATTGTGAGATCGTGCTATAATAAGGAAAGTGGTTTATCAAGGTTCTGTGGTTTGACACGTGAAGAAAGATTGTGAGCATTGGATGAAGAAGCGTATCCAACTGTCGAATAGGCCTTATCTCTGCCTTATCTGTTTGTAGCGTTTTGACTGTTTTGCTGTTCCACAGGGGCATGTGGAGCAGCTGCCAAGTGGCTAATAAGTTCAACTGGTCTAGTTTTGTGTTTTTTCTCTGATCTCTTTTTTACGGATTATGTTGCTACCAGAAAATCTGCGGATTCCTGCTTGAAGACATTAAAATAATGATAGGAAACAAACAAAACCAAACAAAACTCTTTATAACTCTTCAAAAGAGGCTGAAAATTTTTTTTTGTTCTCTAATTAGTGTGCTTTTATTTTTGCCAAGGTTGACGATCCAGCTAAGCTTGGTTTTCTATTTTTATAATCTGTTGTTGAGGTTTACATGTGATTTCCATTATTTTACAATGGATAAAAATATTTTGTTAAGTGATTAAAAATTTAAAAGTTTAATATTTTATTAACAAATTATATAATTGTTGCTTTTTTGCAATTTTCATTTTTTTTTTTTTTTTATAAATCCCATGTTAAAAACATAAATTTGAAAACTTCAAAAAATTTCAATCACATTTAAATTGATTTTAAACGGCAAAGTAATTTTTGCTTCTAATAATTGATTTTTAAATAGAAGGTTGTTATCTGGGTCAAATCCACTTCAAAAGAGGGCTCAGGAGACCCTTAATGGGCTTGAAAGATTTCCAAGAATAGGCCCAACATCTCCAATTCTAATTCTCAAATTATCTTTGAAGCCCAATGTCCTAAAGACTCACAGCCAGACAAAACTTCATCCTTACAAAAATTGGGAAAATCGCCAATCAGTACTTACATCTCACAATTTTAAATAAACGTGGTGACACAATCTGAAAATATATGAAAAATAATATGAAATCAAAAATTTTAAAATTTAATAAAAATATAAAACATATATTATATTTAATTGTCGTTTTTATATTTATATATTAAATGATGAATGTAAGGCTGGTCATATCAATTTCAAATCCTCTTCCAAGAAAAAGAAAGACACGTGTCAACTCCTCAAACGCGTCACAGATATCTCCTTTGTCGTCGCATTGTAGGTGATAATTTGGCGGCAATTATAATCAGCACCGCTGAAACTCATCCATCAGAAAAATCTCCTTCATTGTCACGTAACCCTAATAAAATAATCAAACCGGCTATATCCAGTAAAATAACCACATTGACTTGTATGGTGCTGATCGCCTTGACGCCTAAGCCCTAAAAAAGTAAACAGGCTGAGCCGGTCACTTCTATCAAGTTTTTCACCGCCTTCTGCCCCATTCCATTTCTTTTTCTGTGCTCTTTGATATTATTCTCTTAAAAACTCTGCGATTCTCTGTTTTTTGTTTCCTCTGTTTTTCTCTCAAAAGCATCATCCTTTCTTGGATTTTTTTTTCTAAGGTAGCGTTGGTTTTTTCTAGATCTTATTCCTTATTTGTTCTTATTTATTTTTTGTTTGTTTAATTTTATTTGTTAATCAGATTATATTGGCTCTGTTTGGTAGTTCAGAGTGTACTTCTTTTTTTTTTTTTAATTTTATTTTGTTTCAGCTTAAAAGGTAAGTACAACGGCGAAGTAAGTTAGCAAAATTAGTTCAATTTCATTGAATGAGAAATTTAAAAAGATCGCAACTCTCTCTTTTCTTTTTTTTTTCTGTTTCATAGAGGAATTTTTTAAATCAGGAAATAACCATGTAATAGGATTATTTAAGCACTTTGTTCTTGTTTCTTAATCGAAGTCAATTTGTTCATTATGTGCACAAATTTAACTTTCTAATCATGTTTATCTAAATTATTATTGATTTTTTTCCTTTTTTTTTTTTGGTTCGCAGTAGAATGAAGGGAGCTAGAGGTAAGGCTGCAGGGAAGAACACGGCCGAAGCCTTGAAGCCTGCTGAGGACAGGTTAGTTGACGTACTTCTGTTTTTTGTTTGTTTAAAAGTAAAGTGAACTGTAATTTTTCATGAGAATTTGCTCATTGTTATGGCTAACGTGTTAGCAGTGATTGCTAAATCAATGAATTTTATTGATACTTTATGAATGTTTATATATGGATGTTTGATACAGTGGATACAATAGTATTCTAGTGATGGATTATGGGTTTTTTTAGAAAGATTGGGAAGCGTAAGGCAACTCTCGGTAAAAGCAGCGTACCAAAAGCCAAGAAGGAGAGAAGGGCTAAGAAAGATCCTAACAAACCAAAGAGGCCTCCTAGTGCTTTCTTTGTGTTCCTGTATGTGTCTTGAACTTTGAGTATTAATATTTGAATGTGGTGCTCTATTATTTTCATTGGTATAATGTCTTGTTTGTGTAACAGTGAGGAGTTTAGAGCCACTTTCAAGAAGGAAAATCCTAATGTGAAGGCTGTATCAGCTGTAAGTAATTAGTAATCTTCGAGCATGCTATTGAATGTATGTTCTCTGAATGATTTTAAGGTTGTTTCTTTGAACTTCTGTGCTTGAAGGTTGGTAAAGCTGCTGGAGAGAAGTGGAAATCGATGTCTGAGGAAGTAAGTTATAAAATTTTTATATGGATGGCAACGTGTTTTTTGACACTGGTGGTTCAGTTTGCATGGACTTTGGACATCAATAAATTTCTCTGTTTTCTGCTTATCTATTAGTTCACCAGTCCATGATATCTTGTGTCTTTACCGGAATTCTTTGTGGCTTATTATTATCTGAATGTATGCATATGTGTTGTTGTTTCATTTTTCTTCTAAATATTCACCATGTGATTCTGTTGGTGAACTTAATTGTCATGCAAGGTAGATTAGTGGTTATAATACATAAAAATTTCCGTTTTGAAGAAGGTTATTACTAATTGTAATAATTTCTGCCAATGATTTCATTGCCTGTACATGAAGGAAAAAGTTCCTTATGGGGCCAAAGCTGGAAAACGAAAAGCTGAGTATGAAAAACAAATGAAGGTCTACAACAAGAAGCAGGTGAACAAACTGCATGATTGTATCTTCATTTCATGCAGTGATTTGCTTGACTTGCTACTTGACTTTTTTTACAAACATAATTGGTAGGAAAGTTCTGCTAATGGTATGGGGGATGATGAAGAGGACGAGGAGGTGCATGATGAAGAGGACGTGGCTAGTGGAGAGGTAATTTTTTGTGCTATTAAGATAAATAATTTACAGTGGACATTATTAGGACTCTGCTGTTAATTGTGGGCTAACTTTTGCAGCCAAGATAAATCGTGGTTTCATTATTATTAGTTTATGTTTGTATGTGTAATAGTAAGAAATTTTACTTCCCTTTTGGTTGTATATTTTTTATGCTTGACTCCTTCAGGAAGGGCAACATCAGCAGGAAGATGACGAGGAGGAAGAAGAGGACGAGGATTGAAAATGAATGGTTGATTTGGACATAAAATGATTTAACATTGCAGAAGGATTCTAGATTTGTATGTTCATACTTCTAGGTCAAATGTAATACCTATCTAAAATACCCTAGCAGCAGGATGCTTTAGTATCTTTCTTGTTTTTATCCAATATATTTACTAACAAGAAGCTACATGTTCTAAGTTAAAATACTATGCTTTAGTATCTTTCTCGTTTTAGTCCAACATATTTACTCACAAGAAGCTAAGAGTTCTAAGTTAATATATATGTATGTATGTATGTATGTATGTCGTGTGTGTGTGTATCTATATATATATGTATATATATCATGTTTCTAGTTATCCTTGGCCACAGTTATGTCCCAAAAGACAATTTATTTGTTGGCCTGCATTGAAAATTTTTTCATAAGAGTTCGTTCAAACTTAGATCACACTTAATTAAGACACATTGTTATTGAATGGTGGAGAGAGAATAAGTTGTTAAATCTTTTCCTCTTTTGGATGCAAGAACACATATGGCGGGAATAATCTTTTTATTCCAAGGTACAAACAGTAGCTTCGAGTACGTGGAGTGATTCCTTGGAGCATGTTACCAGTCCAAGGATCAAAACAGTTTGTTCACAATCAAAACTATTTTCATTTATAGATAAGAGCACTTCTGTTACATTAAATTCTTTATGTTGATTTATTTTTAACTCGCAGTGAATTCTTTGTTGCTGGTAATGTTTTGAATTCTGCATGTTGATTTCTCTTCATTAAGGTACCAAAAATACTAAATAGACTTTGTCATTGATTTCAAATTTGATAACATATGGCGGAAAAAGGAAGCATTTTCCTTTTGGTACAAAAATCACAAATAACAAAAGCAGGGGAAGGCAACCCAACACCAACAGCAACAGCAACTAGAATCATGTCAATTCCTTGATAAGTCATTAAATGACAAATGAAAATTTGACGGTTACAGCCTACGTCACCATAAACGGACATTTGTGTTAATAATCAAATGAGAAGTTCATACAAAAACTTACCTTACTAGCGAAGAATGTTTATCTACACCTTCAAAATTTACTACAATGAAATTTAAAAAAGATAAAGAAACATTAATTTCATATGTTATTTACAATTCTAAAACTCAGTACGTGATCATCGGTGTTGTGGATCATAAGAAACAATCTTTGGATCTGGAACAATGAGTGGCAACTTTCCAACGTACATCAACAGACGCTTCATATTCTCCCTCGAGATTGAGGATGAATCAACAATTTCATTATTGCTAGTATACATCCAAAGATCACCTGAATCAACTCTTTTGAGGCTGTCCCTACAGAAGGGGCATGACTGAGACCTTGTGCGCCTAAAAAGAGCATAAAGCACTAACATTATTCTCAATATTATATGCCTAACTAAAGTATAAAGTGACAATCGCTTGTAAACTATCCATCACAAAAAGCTAATGCCAGAATTATTTGACAAGAGACATTGCTTGAGACACTAAGCTCTTAAAATTTACAAGGCTCTACAGCAAATCCTTTTTGTATGTTTCTTGATATCTAGCTATATTTATCATGCACAATTCGATTTTGGGTTGTTTTCCTTTAATCCCCTCACCATACTGCTCTCTTGGTACTCAAAAAGGAAAAGCAAGAGAAAAGTATTTTTGATGAAGAGAGCACATTATGACATACCAAGTACGGTAACATTTCATACACATAGAATGGTTGCAATTGGGCAACACAATCTTGCCATTTATCTCCATGCAGATCCCACATTCTTCTTCTCTTTCTATATCAATTTCAGAGAGCTTTCCTCTATTCATTTCATCCCTTTTCTTGTACTTTGCAGCACAAATTTCCTTCTGTTTCCTGTCATCCACATCAGTAATACCTCTTGCAAGTTGCAATAATGAGGGAAAGATCACCCCTATCATGATAATCCAAACCACTCAAAGTGTAAAGATTTCGTAAGAAGGTAAACACAAGCACATATCAATTCATGAGATAAACATGAATCAAACACAGGCAGAACTACAGCAACAACAAATCCCTCTTACATACCATAGAATTCTCTTATGCTAGCTTTCCTCTCATGAATTGACATGGTGGTTTTCCCGTCAGCATATGCCTGCAGAAAAACGCCACAAATTAAAGCCCTTGACATACTATCATTCAAAACTTCAAAAGAACATTAGGAATTTACTACATAAGAACTTGCAAATAACCTTGTATATAAGAATTCTGAGCAATCCCAAGGCACCAGCAAGATGGCAATCAGTCCACTGAACAAGGAAAAGAAAGAACTGAGCAGCTGGACTGTAAGATAATCTCATCTGAAGGCAGGCGCCATCATATTCTCTTGGATAATCAGAAGCCCTGATCATTAAAGGCCAATTTTATAGATTAGAATCAACAAAAGGAACCAAAATGGAAGGGTTGCATTCAGCAAGAACATGTAGTAAAATGTAGTCCCTACCATTTATTAATCAATGCAGATATAAAATCCCATACAGAACATATGAAACTACCCTATATAAAAAATTAAGGTACAGAAAAAAAGGAACACTAACCCCAAATTTTAGGGCCATTAGCAGCCACCTAAAGGAAGCCACACATACAAAGTTATGTTTGAATGTCACTCTGAACATAATTTATGTGATTTGAGAAAATTTGAACTAGTTTGAGATGAGCCACTTAAAGGACATGAATATCAATTCACTACGCTTATGAGTCTCATCTGAGACATTCAATGTTATATGAACCCTTCTCAGTTTTTACCTTTTCTGGCTAAGCTTGCAACTTAAATTCTAAAAACATGTTGCTTTTAGGATAAGTTAACTATATCCCAAAATATCTTAAAGCTTGACAAAGAAAAAGAACATCTACTAATCTTTCAATACTATAGGAACCACCAAAGAATGCTCTCACCAGTAAAAGAAAAACGTCTAAGCCAGTTAAAGTAGGTAACAAAACATTCCTTTTTCTGCCATTGAATCACTGGAATTTTTGCCAGTTAAGTAATGAATATTCAATATAGAACCATAAACATGATGGGAGTCATCATACTAACAATCTAAAGTTCCCCAAAGTAATGAAATATTGATTTACTAAATGACAAGAATTCTAATGCATTACAACATAATGTAAGAAATAAACATCACACATTGGATATTTGACAGAGAATCAGACAATACCCCACAATTAAAAACCTATGCAAGTTTTAGTGTTATACCAGAAAAGATATATGGTAAAAATAATTTAAAAGAGAAAAAGAAAAAACATGGTCAATCAATATTCTCCATGCTCATCTATAGAATATCACAAAACTACTAAGAAAAGTTAAGGAAAAAAAAAAGCAAAAAGAGATGAAGCCTGAAAAAGAGAGAAGAAATTACAGGGTATTGGCAAACTGAATATCAGCTTCAAGAGCCTTGAGAGAATCCTTAAACGATTTCCTCATTAATTTCCCCTTCCCCCCCCCCCCCCCTTTTTTTTGGCAAAAACCCTGTAACTGATTCACAGCTCAAAATCCAAAACCCCAACAAACCATTTACCTCAAACAACTGTTCAGCGAATCATCATCATCAACATCACCTATAATAACCAAAAGCTTAAACCAAACAAAAAAAAAATAATTTTTTACTTAATTAAAAAAAAGACCCAGTTCAAAGCTTAAATTACTCTTTCTCTCTGTAAAAGAAAAACCTTTTGTAATTCAGAAGAAGCTGAAGACTGTGAGAAATAGAAAAAAGTAAAATAAAATAAAAAAGTTCTTAAGCTTTCGCTTAGAGCACACGTAATAGTATTTCCATGTATTTCTCAGCAGTCAGCTAAGTTTTTATTAAATGCCTGCCGAAGAAGAAGAAGATTGAAGAGATCTTTTTGTCAAATTTACAAAACTACCCTTCATTTTTTCCTCGATATTTTCCGCCCTTCAAACCCGGTCGTCCATTTCTCATCACAGCCGAATAATGCCGGTTGGTTTGGATTGGGTGTATTAGGAATGTGTGCAACCACGGTTGCTTACTTAGACAAAGGGAGGGAGGAGATGATGCAGACGGCAGAGGAAACACGTGGCGAGTGTGCATGTTGTGATCTAACGGTTCAGTGGCGGGGTACCACATTTGGTAGTTATCGGGTGCGACGTGTCGTGATTGGTGAAATCATGGATCCCACCATTGGATACCCATTTCCATACAAATGGCAAATTTAGAAAGTTTTCTTCTTCCACCTGTACTTGGAAATATCCAGTAGCTAAGAAATCAATTATTTTAGTATATTTAATTTATTAAATTATTAATTTTTTTGATTTGTTGATTGCAACAATGAAGCAAGTCTTCATTTAGCAAAATCTTGTTTTGCATCTGAAAATCATAATATTTGCATGGGTAAAATATTGATATACTTTGTATATTCATATTATATTTTATTAAAAAAATTATATATTATAATTTATATTAATATAAAAAATAAGAAATATATTTTTTATTAATATTAAATTCATAAATATTTTTTGATAAATTTTAAATTGTATCATATTTTTATTTTTTGGTATAATTTTTGTATTCTATTCTATTGATAGGGCTAACTTTTGTAGATATATAAAAAAAAAAAAAACCAAAATCCTTATTTTATAAAGATAAAAAAATTAACTATATCAAGATTTTGCTGAAAGAGTATGCAGACCATGTGTTTTATGTGTTTTCCCTCGTATCCATTTGCTTAGAAATTTGGAAATGTAAAGAACTACAAAATCCTAGAAAAAGGATGTCCATGTTTTTGCCTGGCACTTTTTCTGACAAACATTTCAGTTGAATGAAAAAAAAAAAGAAAAAGAAGTTTACCACCAAATGCAAGCTAAAGCTACTGTCGCCACACATCTCTAAGTAATATAAAGTAATTAGGTGCTAACATTAGGTCATTCTCCAACCAACAAATTTTGAAGGTAAAAGTGTTTAACATGGCAAACAACACAAGCATTCATTCCAATTAGTGGCTGATAAAACACCTAACTAATTTGACTAAGAGCCAGTATGGTTGAAAATTTTGGCACGGCTCAACAAAATAAATAATTAAAGACTGTTTTTGGTACGTTGTCATAATTTTTTTTTTTTTTCTGATCAGGACATACCAACCTCTTTTTAAGGATGCCACCAAACTCCATAGCATTTTGAAGAGTCACAAGCAACGATTTCCTTGCATAACCGACCTATCAAACTACCATGTGGATGCGGTCCAAAGTAAAATGAAAGTCTCCACTGTTATTTTACCATGGATTTCATTTGAATTCAAATTAAATCTTAGTGCGCAAAGACCTCTTGGTGGACCTTCGAGATCCTGCTTTTTTCCTCATCAAAATTCAACACGCAACTACAAGAGCTCTTGCGTAACACTAGAAGAAGCAATAGGGGCTCCAGCCGGTACCTACAAAATTTGGATTAAGTCAAATTAAAACCAGTTTAGGGTATATCACATCTAGAAGTATGTAGATGACAGCCCATTGACATAATGCTGAAAAAGTGTTAATGAAGGTAGTATAAAACATAGCAGCAAGAAAGTATTATTTTCATACTAACCCGGTGAAATCCTATCGGCTACTGCAATTTACATGGTTCGAAATCTAACACCCCCAAAAGTACAGCATTAGAGAAGGCAGATAGTCTTCTTTCCATGTTAAATGCCAAATCATGGTAAAGAGAATTTCCAAATTTGATGACAAGAGTTAGAAATTATAGTGATTTTTTTTCAACACGGTATAACTTCCTAGAGTTGAACCATGCTTACAGATCAACTTCCAAGGACAGCACTTTCCTTGCTTACCATCTGATTCCGCACAGTCCTGTTGCAGTGTAATCAATATAAAACTTGAACAGTAAGGGGTGTACCTCTATGATGCCAGAATTCACTTCAAAAAGATGCTCTGAGCAAGTTGATTGGTACAGTAAGTGGCCATACGAAGCTTCTCATTAAGCCCCTTCATATGCCTCCACAATTCCAAATCCATTCCATAATCCGTTTGTGCAACAAAATCTCAACATGTACTCAAGAACTTCATACCCCATAACGTCTCTGCCTTTGCTCAAAGGCTAGAAATGCTTTTAAAATCTCAGCTTCTCCAAAATCAGGCCACAGTGCTTGTGCAAAGAATAGTTCCGCATATGCCAACTGCCATAATATGAAATTGCTAATTTTATACTCACCATTGGTTCGTATAAGTAAGTCAGGATAGGGGAACTCACTCCATTTAGTTTCTAGTTCCTTTTCAATTAGAGACTTGTTGATGTCGCTGGGTTCAATCAGACCACACTTTGCCTTCAGAGCAAGCCTATGGCAAGCTTGAACAACATCATAGTTTCCACTGTAACTGACAGCTACAATTAGTTGAAAATGTGTATTGTTCTTGTTGGCTTCCTCTAAGTTGATTATCAATTCCTGTAGGGCCTCAGGGAGCTTAGCTAGATCTCCAATAACAGATGTTTGGATTTTTTCCCTGTTATAAGACAAAAGGTCACCAGTTTCTTCCTTGGAAGCTATCAACAAGTCAGAATGGAGAATCAGTGGAAATAATGGTCAGGGAAAACTAAAGAGTCACAGCATTGATATTTCATCATGAAAGGAGATTCTGTTGGACTAAAGGCTTTCAATCCAATCGCACTAACGGAAGTGAAATCAAACAATAAATCAAACACACAAGAGACAATAATTTAACGTGGCTCGGTCCAACTGACCTACATCCACGGATGAGAAAAAAGATCCACTAGTTGTAGAGAATTACAAACTTATATCAAATCATCAACCTCACTCAACAATCAATACTCATACTTATATCAAATCATCAACCTCACTCAACAATCAATACTCATAAGACACTCTCAATCTCCTCTAGTCCTATGGAATATTCTCAACCCAAACAAACACAAACTCAAACCCTTGTGCACCCTTTCAACATAACCAAACACATATCCATATGCTCCCATACACGATACCTATGTGAACCCTCTCAATCTCCTTTAGTCCACTCACATACAAACATACACACCCATAAGACATAGAGCCCCAATATTCCTATGGGGTGTCTATCCCACAAAATCCTACAACTCTCTTACATCTTTTTCTCATACCTAACCCTGTAGAGACTTCACCTATTTATATGTAGAGACTTCACCTATTTATAACCATACAAACTTACCCATTAAGAATCCCTCTCCTCTTAGAATTCTTCTCTTATAAGTCAAACTTGCCTATTAAGAATCCCTTTCCTTTTAGAATTCTTCTCTTGCAAGTCAAACTTACCTATTAAAAATCCTCTTTCTCTTGAAATTCTTCTTTTGCAAGTCTTCTTGTCCATTAAGCAATATCTGACAAATCTCAAACAAATCTCTTATGGGATTTGAGTCAATATTCCCAACAATCTCCACCTTGACTCAAATTCCATCAATCATCTATCTTCATGCTAGACATGTTTGGCTCCACCTGCAATGAAAGTCTTACAATCATCTTCTTTTCTCTTGTGTCTTCACACTTCATACAAACCAATCCTCAATCTTCAAAACTCGAACTCGAACTCTTCTCTTGAATTGAGCTCTTCTAAGCTTATTTATTCCCATGTCTTAAACCAAACTCTTCCCACATCTTAAACCTTTAGCTTTTCCACGTCTCAAATCTTCGGCTCTTTTCACATCTTGAATCTTCAACTCTTCTTACGTTTCGAACCTTCAGCTTTGATATCACTTGTTGGGGATCACCACAGCTCTGATACCATTTGTTAGGGAATACCATAGCTCTGATACCATTTGTTGGGCTAAAAGCTTTCAATCTAATCGCACTAACGAAAGTGAAATCAAACAATAAATCAAACACACAAGAGACAATAATTTAATGTGGCTCGGTCCAACTGACCTACATCCACGGATGAGAAAAAAGATCCACTAATTGTAGAGAATTACAAACTTACATCAAATCATCAACCTCACTCAACAATCAATACTCATAAGACACTCTCAATCTCTTCTAGTCCTATGAAGTACTCTCAACTCAAACAAACACAAACTCAAACCCTTGTGCACCCTTTCAACATAACCAAACACATATCCATATGCTCCCATACACCATACCTATGTGAACCCTCTCAATCTCCTCTAGTTCACTCACATACAAATATACACACCCATAAGATGTAGAGCCCCAATACTCTTATGGGGTGTCTATCCCACAAAACCCTACAACTCTCTTACATCTTTTTCTCATACCTAACCCTGTAGAGACTTCACCTATTTATAACCATACAAACTTATCCATTAAGAATCCCTCTCCTCTTAGAATTCTTCTCTTATAAGTCAAACTTGCCTATTAAGAATCCCTTTCCTTTTAGAATTCTTTTCTTGCAAGTCAAATTTACCTATTAAGAATCCTCTTTCTCTTGAAATTCTTCTTTTGCAAATCTTCTTGTCCATTAAGCAATATCTGACAAATCTCAAACAAATCTCTTATGAGATTTGAGTCAATATTCCCGACAGATTCATCAAAGACATCTAAAAGCATCCTATTTCAAAATTCAAGGCAATCTTGAATAAAAATACGAGGGGCTTTCTGTTTGGAGTATAAAAGGTGTTGCATAATTAAGTATAATTCACTGGATAAAAACATCATACCAGCCGAGACACTAATTTTGTATAGGTTGAACACCTAATTTCATATAATATAGTATCATAAATGGAAGCCAATGAAAATGGAAAGATGTTATGGCTTTTACCAACAAGATAAAAACCAAGATAATCGAGAAACATTGAAAACTGCATCCATACAGATCTGATTCGAAAAGCTCATAGAAAATCAGCAACATTTTAGAAACTAAAACATAGGGTTTCCAAAGCAAATGCAGTAGTACGAGAGAAACTTATAGCACAACATCAACATCATTCATGCAATTTACGAAGCTATTTGTTATTCTAAACCCAACAACATACATAAATCCCATTAAGAGAAATTGGAAAGAATCACATTAGCTAGTTTCTTTCTCTCCAATATCCCCACTTTTGTAAAGATTTGAAAATTCCCTTCCCATTTTCCTCCGCACTTTCCTATCGAAAAGAGAGAAAAATGTTAATTTCTTTTCACTTTTCCTCAATCCAAACACACTATAAGTTGGACATGTATTAATATTACCTCAAAAAAAAATCCCCCTATCCTCCTGCATTCCACTCTCAAACAAACTTATAAAAAATTCCACTTTCACCTGCAATAAAGCAATATCTATAAATTAACACTCCCACCAAAAGAAACAATTTTTAAGGTAAAAAAAAAATAAAAAAGCTAACTTTGGGACGAAAGCAGTTATCACTAGAGAAAGCAAAAACACTGACAACTTTTATTCCCCATTTGCAACAGAGCTCCACAATCTTTCTCAAGGACCGAACACCGGCCTCATAACCGGACCCCATGGGCAAGTCTCTGAACCGGGCCCACCTCCTGTTTCCATCCACGATCACTGCCACGTGTCTAGGCTATGCCTCTCGCCGTAGTCCCAATGGAAGCGTTTGGTCTTCGACTATCCGATCAAAGGCTTCTTCTTGTTCTTCTTCTTTGCCTTGCTGGATGAGTGCGTGTTCCTTGGCCGAGCAGAGTGGGGACTTTGGCAAGTGTGAGGTGAGCTTCTTGAATCTGTGGAGGAGTGGCACGTGCGAGAAGGGTTTTGATTTAGGGGAGAGAGTGGTGAAGATCGGAAGGGGGAGAATTGCAGAGAGAAGAGCATTGCTAATGCAAGGGTTACTTCTCTGAACAATAACGGAGGCTTAGTGAATTTTGCCGCCCGTGCTGTTCTTTTTTTTATTGGTTATAACGGTGACATTTACGCGGTTTAAATTTTTTTAAAAAATTGATGGGCTAAAATCGAAATTCATTATTACGGCGCAATTGAGAAATCATTAGGCTCCATTTCAGTTCATAAAAAAAATCCTTCAGATTTTATTTAAATTATTTTTTTTCTAACGATTTTGAAAAAAATACCTCTTTTATGGATTTCATGCATTCAAATTTTTATTCTAAAAATATTTTTATCTGGCCATTTATTTGCCATTTTTCTATTCACTAGTAGTACTTTGTTTAAAGGTAAAATATAAAAAAATACAATTAAATGAAATTAGTTAACATCATTTTTTTCTTAATTTAACTTTATAAAAAAAATTACATTTGAATCAATGTCATTTTCAAATATTTTTTTTTACTTTTACTGATATTACATTTTATTATTTACATTTTATTTTATAATAACTCTTAAAGAAGTAAAAGAAATACTTAATAGTTGAATTAATGTCAATTTTAAGTGCCTAAATGTATCCTTAAAAGAATGTATTCACCATTCGCCTAAAAAACAGTCAGCAAACCAATTACATTTCAAGCTTTAGCAGTTGTACTGGAACTCTATACTGTACCCTCCAATGTTCGTTGCCGCATCAAAATTATCTTTCGAGGAAGGTGGTTGGCCTTGGTCCTCATAGCTCAGTGCCTTAGCTGCATGGAACACTTGCATCATTCCCTGATAACTCAACTTGCAAAGCATGTCCAGTTGCACTTTTTTACAGGCACAAGGCAGCTTTGGCACCTGCTGGGAAAGATGCTATTTGATCATCATAATTTGAGCGTTAAACAGGATATTCGTCAATGGAGATTTCCTTGGGGACCCTCAAATTAATTTGATGAGTATCCCATCCAGCTTTACCCAACTGTTGGATGAATTCCTCGAACCTATCATCCATCTCAGACAAACTTTTTGCAAGCTGATCAAAGATATTTGCAGAAACGTTCAAGTTCTCGTGTAGCCAATATGTCTGCCACACGCTACGCAAAACGGATACACTTGTAGCACCCACCTGCAGTAAATTTTAGGCGTGATTAAACTAAAGAGTTGATCTCATAACAGTTTTCTAAGTTTGTCTTACACACATACCTTGAATGAAACAAAGACCTCAAAATCTTTTTGCCGTTGGTTCACCACGAGAATATATTTCTCCCTCTCATATATTCTCACGATAGTCTTCAGCTGTTCTAGAAGAAAAAGCAGCTAGAATTATCTAAAAAGGAACTCTTGCCTGGTAAGTTTGTTGTTATTAACTTCATTGATCCAAATAGTATTCATATATGACAAGCAAATCATGCAATACCATGGAAGTGGATCTCCCACCAACTAACATCTCCTCCAAGGGCGCACCAAAAATAATCCGTGGCTTTATGAATCTCTGCCATGATAAAACATTTTCGTCCCTATTGCAGTCATTGCATCCTGTTGGGCAAATAAAAATAATGGGTCATTGCTGTTGAAACAATATATTTCATATAACAATAGTTCAAGAGGTATATAATTTTACCAGGAACTCTAGAGTGTAAAACATGTGATTCTACCAGAATACGAGCACGCTTAAGATTTATCTGTCACAAAAAGTTAAAAAAAAAAAAGATTAGTATTCCTAGATCCCACACTTGATTCTTGAGTGTTTCCATGTTCCTACAGGTTTCTTTTGAGTCTCATCCTCACTTGCCAGCATGTACATATTGATTCCGCGAGAACATAAACAACTATGATATAGAATATCGAGATTTAGTCGTGCATCTCTCCTGATAGAGTTAACATATTAGGCCTGATTTAGCCTCTGTACAGGAAAGGAGTCTATTAGAACTAGAACACACTTACTGTGTTAAACCGTAGAGCTGAAAGTGACAGATAACGTAACCAGAGGTGAAGAAGCCGCATGCTAGCCCATGTTGACACCAATACTGGATATGCTTTTACAAGGCCAGGAGTATCCTGCATTTATTGTTGTCAATACTCAACTATAACATGGTGAAGCAAGAAACATACAGTTGATGATAAATTGACATCCAGCCAGAAAGTATCCTGAAAAACCACACAACATACCAGGATCAGTATGCCAAGAGAAAGACCAAGCAGCTGAGCAGTTACTTCCCAAACTTCCTCCTGAAAATTTTGGTCAATTAACTACAAAGATGACTTCATTTTGTAAAACCAATATTACATATCACTCATACAGGCAAAAAGCTCTCTTTATTCTATAGAGACACTACCACATATACATTACCTTAGCAGCCACCTCTCCCAAATTTCCTGAGATTGCAAAATGGTTTTGAATCACACGGAATGAAGGATCTTTTAGTCCTCTTGCCACTGCCTGGTCAAATTTTAATCTTCAGAAAATTAATGAAAAACAATGTCTAAGACCAGCTATTTTGCACTTGCAGTAAAGCTGACACGAGGAACTGACTTTACTTCTCTAATCCAACTTAGGGGGAAACTTTGATTTTTGATAGAGTGCATGCTTGCATTTTTTCTGTAGTCATTAACTAATCAACAAAGACTATGTCCTCTCTTTCCATAACTGGACTTCAGTATAAACATGATTGGTAGTTCTTCCCTATTTTATTTTTCATGAAATACATACTTATTGAGCACGAATTGTTATATATAGACAATACCAAGACCTGTATGACCAGAGCAATACCTTAGCGAGATTCCCAAGAGATGCCAATGGTACAAAATAGGCAGGATAAACTTGGGTTGTTAGATCAAATATGCTACAAATAAATTAAGAGATTCAGTTGTCTCTAATGATTCAAATATTATTTAACAACTCTATAGTCAAGAAAAACCTTCCAGCACTGCCAATGAAGTCAGCATACATGCGCCACTGCTTAGGATCATCATCAAATAGATTTCCAAATCGGCCACCTGGGAACAAAAAAGCAACAGTAACCAATAAATTTCATCACATAACTTTTCTGAACTTAAGGTCTTTTTATAATTGCCAGACCAACGAATAAGCGCCCAATAGCTCCAATGCCATCTTTGGACACCCATCTGCACAAACAGACATGTAAATTATTCAATGACATATAAAACTACTTTGATATTAAAAAAAAAAGGATTGTGTACTGCTTTTATTTCTATATTAAGTGCAGAGTCAAATACATGCACATACAAAGAAATGCAGAAGAAACATTTACATTTCCATTATCAAGCGTGGATGCAAATCTTTCACGTAGGCAAAGATGGATATCTCAAATCATGGAAATTTACCTAATGACAGCAGCAGAAGCAGCAGCAGCAGTTCCAGAGAAGGAGCCAACACCAACAGCCTGCAATATGGGGAGAGTCAGTAAAATATGGGGAAGTAGAAATGCATTCAAGATACTAAGAAGAAACAGAGGAAGCTCATTGAAAAAGATAAACTGCATGGTTAATTAAGAGAATGTTGATAATATAAAGAAACAAAAGTTCAACCATCCTTTTTTCTGATCAGATGATTAACATTTCCAAAATGCCACATAAGCTTAATAGAACAGTAACAGTAATAGATGAAAGATTCATGAAGACAAAAGCTAATCTAGAAATGCTATGGAAGCCTTATTTGAAAAATCAAAAACTCTAAACATCACTCATGGCTATCAAAATCCATACTAATTGATACCAAATGAATTCAAATTATAATTAGTGACACTAAAGAAAACTATAATCTTTTAAAAGATGATAACACCCCTTTTTGAAAAAAAGCAACATTTTAGCAGTCTAAAGCATGTTTTATTCTTTCAAACCAAAATGAGGGAGTGAAAATCCTACTGCACATACCCAAGTAAGGTTAATAGCCGGAGTTAGATTGACATGCCTTTAGAAGACTTGATGTAACTAAAGTGTGACAGATCCATCCAGTAACATTCGTAGGAAACTGTAACAACATGTATTGCAAGTAATCATCGGAAACTGATCCTGCATTAATCAAGCTTAAGGATAAGCAAGTAGATTACAGCTGGTAAAAGCTTTTATTGAGCTCTGTTGATACTTGTTAAACAATAGATTTGCTTATTTGGACAATAAGCAGGGAGAATAAGTAAGAAAAAAAATAACAAATGAAAGGAAATGTTAGATGTTAGTTTACCTGGGAAACCTGCAGGCAAGATAAAATCTTTGAGGATGTCTGGTAGCCAAGATAATTTTGGGTCAGATAAATGTGAGCCCTGCAACTCATTACTTGTTGAATCGTGTTTCTCAAGAGAAGTTCGAATATGCAAATCATCATCATGTAGCATGTATCTGATTATGGAACAGTGATCAACAGTAATAATAATTCAGATTCCACCTTTTTATAGTGCCATTGCCATATCTTTCTATTAAATAACGGGAATGAAATGCTGGGGATATATTCATAGACCTTTTAATAGTACCATTTCCATATCTTTCTACTAGAATCACTTGGTCTCGACTTTTACTAATTCTACAAAAGAATAAGAGAAAACATGTTAAAAATTCAGGTAATTGAATTTGAAACAAAATAAAAAATGGGTTGGGTGAAGTAGCAGGTACCTATCATTGTCAGGCTCTTGTTGACCTTTAGAGGAGTGGACAGTTCGAAGATTGCCTAGTCTCCCTTCGATGCTCTTTTTCTGAAAAGGGCAAATCCGAGAAGGAAACGGGAGTTGCACAGAGTAAGAGATAGACATTTTAGGATTGAGTTAAGCTTATCAGATTCGCTTTTAACGAAAATTTTGAATTGAAAGATTCACTTTTTTCTCAATGTCAGCGCTGCAGCTCTTAAAACCAATTGAACAAACAAGAAGCTGAAGGTGTCGCTGCCTCCTATCTGGTTTCTTAGCTCCGTAACCATCCAAATCAGGGAATTCAATCAATAGCTGCTAACCCGATTTGAGAAGTATTGGGCGATTGGGCTTTTAAAGCTTGGCCCGTCGCTTGGAGCCGGAGAGTTCCTTTGAGAGTAAGTGAGGATTAGTCAAAATCTCTTTTTAGTCAAGTCCTTTTGCTAATTAAATTATACAAAGGAAAATAATTTTCTGTCAGTTTTTTTTACTAGTTGCTATGTTAATTTTTAGACTAAAAAAAGAGATCCCTAACCAGGATTAAGAAAAGCATTTGGTAAATTTACTGGTTAGCAGTTTCCTCTTTTAGAACAAATATAGTTAATATGTGAGTTAACGATCAACTAAACCATTTTTCACAAATTTGCTACTTACAAAAAAAAAATTATAATTTAGGTACTCAAATTTTGATTTCTTCAAATATTTTGCTTTATATACTAATTTTGTTTAATGGTAAGCTGATATGACAAAGAATACCAATAATATCATGACATTTTTATTGGTTAGTATTTTTTATTGTCAATACTTTGATTAGCGGTATTAATTATTGATACAAAATATTTGACGAAAACAAAGTTTAAATATTTAATCATTAATTTTTTGTAAGCATCAAATCATTAAAAGCAACATATTTCATAAATCAAAATACAAATTATCCCCTTACAATATTAATGAAGTTCTACTACCCCTGTAAAAGTAAAATATGGCATGAAAAATCATTCAAATTCGAAAGACGAAACTCAAAAATAACTTGCACAAATAATTGTCATACAATAATACAGCCCCAGTTCAACAAATAACTGGCAGCTCAAGAACGTTCATGTAAGATAGTACATGGTTACTTGGTAATGCAAGTTTCCTACCATAATGGCGAAACTTAAATTGCAGTTCCACCTAAAATTGAAAAAAACTAGCCTGACTACCGCAACGTTGGCTAAATAGGAACCATCCAAGCACATATATTAGCTGGCACCTTTCGATTCTCACATATCATAAAGATAATCTTAGTGAACCGTAAATCTCACAAATAATGGGTACTTCTAGCTGAACATAAGCTCTGGAAGAAAAAATGGACAGTAAACAAACAGTAAAAATGCTATGACTTGCAAATTAGGATTGTTCAACATTCGTTTCCTGCTTTTCTTTCTGGCGATTTTTGTCTACAATTTTCTGAAACTCTTTTTCACTAGCCGCAATTAGACGTTTGACAATGTCAAAGGTGGTAAGCCTAATGCTGCAGTTGAAATGAGTAACAAATGTCTCAGATCAGTGAAACTGGAAATTCATGACAAATTGATCCAATGATGCAGGAAGAATCTTTAGCACCCACTAAATAGACAATTGCATGACCAAATATACAGGGATCTATCAGCAATGATGATGACACTGAATATAGAAATCACTGAAACCACCTAACCCATAGCAAGAAATATATTTTAAGAATGGTGGGAAAGGAGAGTTACAAAATTACCAAAGGATGGTTGCGACTCCATGGGAACTGGGATATCTAAATATGTGATGTGTTAGCTACTTTGGTTCTATCCCTACATAGATCTTAGAGAACTAAGTCGACATGCAAAACCTTGCAAGATCTCGAACAAGGCATTATCAGCATTAGAAATTGACTGAATGATATGACTAAGGCCTAAAGATATTCTGGCTCTAAACCAAACATTGAATATGGCCCATACATCATCTTGTTCCAAACCAAACAGTACTTTCAAGGAATAAATTAAAAAAAAAAAAAAAAGGAAAGGAATGGAACTCAACCTGCTATTTGGTAGGTTTTTCAATGCATTGGGAACAAAACCTCTGTACAAGCCAATAACTCCATCGCGTTCAATAATACCTACACAAGCAAGAATATATTGTTGTTACTGAAACCATCAAGTCTCAAGTTTTTATTTTTCCATGAACAAGTGTTAGAACATAACAAATGATAAAAAAATAAAGGAAACTTTAATTTGATGGTGAAATACCGAAAAGTGTGGACTATAATAAATACTGACGGTTGGAACATAATGCGAAGTGAAATTCTAACATACCCAAGTCAATGCAGTTCTATCTTGCACTCAGGGAGAAAAAGCATGCAAGACTATGGTCATAAATGCCAAATGCTGATGTGATTTTTGTACATTTTATTTTGACTTTGTTATCAGTCATGGCAATATAAGTAGTCACATTAACTTACCTGGAATGGCTTCCAGAACTGATTTGTACGGTGTGCCCCTCATTTGCATTTGTCTTCTTACTGTGTCTAAAGGATAGCAGGTGATAGTAGCTGCAGTAGCTGACACTACAGCTGTCAGTAGAGATGCTTGAGTCTTTTGGCGATATTTTTCTGGCAAAGCCCTCTTCACACTGTTATCAGCATAAGAATTTGTACTGCAGATTTAAGTTTGAGCTCTCATATGATATATTACAAATAGCAGTGTCATTTGGACTCACAGGTCAAATATGCAAAAGTTCACAGCAATATATGGAGCTATGCCAATGAGAGAAGGTCCAAGACCATAATAAAAGGAAGCAAAACCTTCCTCTCGCAACATGGTCAATGCAACCTAGAAGCAGCACATTAAGGTTCATCTTCCAATAAAATGGTCATCTTCATGTGGTAACAATGAGAGAGTTAAGCATACCTCAGATATTGTCCGATACCCTGGTTCAACAGCTAAACGTAGTCTGAGGACATCTAACGGATATGTTATCTACATAAAAACGACCAGAAAAGTGAAAGATTGAAATTTGTAAAACACACTGAGCAATCAATAAGAAAAAACAGGATTCAAGAGACAGAAACGACAAAATCCAAAAACCAAAGTTAACTGGTCATAGACAAATTTAAAATGCAGAAAAAGTTTCTCCCTAAAATGCAAAAGACACTTTCTTTCTTTTTTTTTCATTTAATAGATTAAATAATATAGTCAATAATCAAACCTCAGGAAGAAGCATAACAGGAAGAACCCTACAAAACAAAAATATAAAAAGGCTCAATCGCTATATCACTTACAAAAGTAGATGTCATGCCAGCACAAGCTCCAGCAGCAAGTCTCCCAATAACAGAAAGCTCACCATCTTTTCCCGTGAAAAGTTTCTAGAATTCAATAGGAAATGGGAATCAAACGACTAATTCCGTGATTCCATCTAAGGACATAGAGTAAGAACAATGCCAAGATTCAGTTATACATATTCATTTATTACCTTATAAGTTTCATAAGCAAAAAGCTGGATAGCACTGTACGGTACAACCCTTATAACCTGAACCATTTAGTAACAAATCTTTATCAATAGCAGCTCAATAAATCATTGCAATTACTTACTCGAAACATATTCTGAAATAACGATTGGAAGTAAAAATTGCAATGAACCTGAGGAAGGTTGCCCTTCCAGTATCCTTTAATTCCTTCGTCCTTCCCAATCAATACAATTGCCTGCAATTTATTCCCAAATAATCACCAACATTTCAAATATAAAAATTTCAAACAACTACTTGCATCTGCTAAAATTCAATAAACATATATTATAAATTCCAAAAAAAAAACAGAAGAGTAAAGACACAGCTAAGAACAAGAGAAATAAACCAAAAACATACCTCGATAAAACCAATAGACTTTTTTGCACTCTCTTGCCCAGCTCTCAAACCATGAGTCTGTAAAAAATATCATTTTGAAACAACAAAGAATGAATTATGGCAAATTCATACAATTCTCAATTCAATAAAACTATCAAATTTTCAACCAAAATAAAATTGATATTCTTAATCTACACTGTTATTAAGTGATAATTAACTAACTAACCGATGAATATATTCTTTAACATAACTAAACGAACAACTACGCGCGGCAAAAACGTGGTAGGTAACGTCTTTATAGTTCTAATTTAAGTCAAAATGGAATCGAAAGGCCAATAATGAACCTGCATAAGAAGCTTAATACGGTCGAGCGGAGCAGTGACAGTTTTAGCAGCGGCTCCAGCAATGGCGCCAGCCGCGAAAATGGCAGCGTCTCTGGGGACGTAAGCTAGAGCAGCCAAAGGATGGTTGAGGAGCTGAGCTGGAGTGGGCGCGAAATCTCGTTGCTGTTCTCTCTTCTCTGCCATCGAAAGACAGGCGAAATTACAAGCACTGCCACAGCCGTTGTTGAAATTGTCAGTGAGCCGGGCGTTTGCGTAGAGAGGCGCATCACTCTTCGTCGTTTCGAAAGGGGCGAGGCCCGGGATGGTTTGGAGGCGTAAAATGGCCTTGTCTTCTCTCATAGTGGATTGGGATTGGTCGGGAATTTTGGGAGCTGTTTAAGGGTAGAGAAGAGATAAGGCAGCAGAGAGGCCAGTTGCAGAGAAAGGGGAGTGGGGAGCGCAAAATGCAGAAGTCTGAAAACTTCCCATTTTGTAATGCCCCTCGAATCTCTTCTGATCCGATGCGCGCAAGTCTATGGATAGATTTTTGAACTCAAACTCTGATTGGTGAATCGTGGTGGTAGTTTGTTGATATTTTGTGCTGGATACGGGGACGCATAACGTTTTAGTAGTACTATTTCAATTATGACGTGCCCAACACTCTGCTCTGCCGGGCATTTTTGTAGTCTTATAATTATTAGTCTTATAATGTTTTAGTGGTACTATAAGTTTTAAATTTTTTAGTCTTATAATAAAGTTGGTAAATAATAATTATTAAATTATATAACTAAATTTTAATTATTAATTAAATTTTAAAATAAAGATTGATAAAATTTATTTATCAAGTAATGAGATTGTAAAATAAAATTTATGAAATTTTATATCATATAAATAATATTCACTTTATGTAATAGTTTTTTATTTTTCACTTTATTACATTTTATAAAATTACTTAAAAATAAAAATAATAATTAAAAATATTATTTTTAAAAAATTATAATGTAATTGGTATATTCAAAAATTGCTAAAAAATATTATAAAAATAATTCTAAAGAATTAAAAAATATTAACATAAAATTCTTTCAAAGAAAAAAAATTAACTTAAAAAAGAATTGATATTATAATTAAAAATAAAAAATTATTAACATAATCAAATGAGAAATAATAAAATTTATATCAATTTATTTAAAATGAGATAGAAATATCATAATACGCTAAAAAATGAGTTATGAAAATTTTTAAACATAATTGAATGTAAGAAAAAGTGTTAAAAAAATTATTTTAAAATAAATAATTAAGTTAATAATATAAAATTTAAATTGTAATTTCTTTTTATAAATATATAAGAAAATAGTTAAAAATACATTCAAGAATAAAAATTGATGTAAAAGAAATTATATTTAAAAAAATAAAATTTTGATTAATGTAAACATGTAAGAAGAATAATAAAATTTATATCATTTAGCGTAAAATATGTTAGAAGTATCATAACACTTAAAAAAGAATTATGATAATTTTAAACTTAATGAAATGTAAGAATAACTATAAAAAATATATCGTAATATAAATAATTAAGATATCATTGTAAAATTTTAATTAATTATTATTTTGATAAATAAATAAAAAAATATCTAATAAATAAAAACATATATAGATAACATGAATAACTGAGAGGAAATGTAATATTCACATCAATTAGCGTAAAATGGGTAAGAAATGTCATAACACAATAACAAATAACTATAACAATTCTAAATATATTAGAAGTAAGAAAAAACATAAAATATATTATTATAAGGTAAATAATTATGATGGCAATATAAATTTTTAATTAATTATTATTTTTGTATATATATAAATAAAATAGCTATAAATTAAAAAAAAATTGATAACATTAACAAGTGTGAAAAACATAAAATTAGTGTCATTTAGTGTAAAATAGGTAAAAAGTATTGTAACACACTAAAAAAGTTATTAGAATTTTAAACATAATAGAAAGTAAAAACAACCATAAGAAAATATTATTATAATATAAATAATTATGTTGATAATATAAAATTTTAACTAATTATTATTTTTTTAAATATATAAAGAAAATAAATAAAAATTGAAAAACAAATAGATAATGTAAAATAAATATCATTTAATGTAAAATTGAAAAAAGTATCATAACATATTAAAAAAGAGCATATTATAATTTTAAACATAATTAAAGGTAAGAACAATTATAAAAATAAACTATTATAACGTAAATAATTAAGTTGTCAATATAAAATTTTTTAATAAATTATTTTTTAAACATATAAGAAAAATAGTTAAAAATTAAAAAATATATTGGTAATATAAATACGTGAGAAAAAAGATAAAATTAGTATCATCTAGCGTAAATTTGATATAAAATGTTGTAATATGCTAAATAGTATTATAACAATTTTAAACGTAATGAAAAGTAAAAATAACTATAATAATATATTATTGTAATGTAAATAATTATATTGATAATATAAACTTTTAATTAATTATTGTTTTGCAAATATATAAAAAATATATAAAAATTAAAAAATAAATAGATAAAGTAAATAAGTGAGCGTAAACATAAAATTAATATCATTAGGCCTAAAATATGTAAAAAGTGTTGTAACATATTAAAAAATAATTATGATAATTTTAAACATAATAAAAAAATAAGTAACTATAAAAAGATATTATTGTAAAAAAATAATTATGTTGACAACTATAAATTTTAATTAATTTTTATTTCTATAGATATATAAGAAAAATAGCTAAAAATAAAAATTAAATTGATAAGGTAAACAAGTGAGAAACATAAATTTAATATCATTTGATGTGAAATGGGTAAAAAGTATTCTAAAATACTAATAAAGAGTTATGAAAATTATAAACGTAATGGAAGGTAAGAACAACTGTAATAATATATTATTGTAACATAAATAATTATGTTGGTAATTTAAAGTTTTAACTAATTATTATTTTTTAAATATATAAAGAATATAACTAAAAATTGAAAAACAAATATGTAATGTAAAATGGTGAAAAAAAAAACATAAAATTAGTATACTTTAGAATAAAAAGAGTAAAAAAATATCATAACATATTGAGAAAAAGTAATGATAATTCTAAATATAATTAAAGATAAGAATAATCATAAAAACGAAATTATTGTAACGTAAATGATTAAGTTGCCAATGTAAAATTTTAATTATTTATTTTTTGTAAATATATAAGAAACATAGCTGAAAAACTAGAAAACAAATTAATAATATAAACAAGTGAGAAGAAACGTAAAATTAGTATCATTTGACGTAAAACGGGTATGAATTATGGTAATATGCTAAAAAAAGTTATGACAATTCTAAACGTAATAAAAATTAAGAACAACTATAATAACATATTATTAGAATATAAATAATTATACTAGTAAAATAAAATTTTAATTAATTATTATTTTATAAATATCTAAAAATGATAATAAGAAATTAAAAAATAAAATTAGTAACATAAACAAGTGAGAATAAATGTAAATTAGTACCATTTAGTGTAAAATGGATAAAAAGTATTATAATATATTAAGAAAGAGTTATGACAATTATAAACATAATGGAAAGTAAAAATAATCACAAAAAATATTATTTTAAAAGTAGTAATTATGTTGACAATGTAAAATTTTAATTATTTATTATTCCTGTAAATATAAAAAAAAATTAAATAAAATTAAAAAACAAATATATAACGTAAACAAGTGATAAATAACATAAAATTAGTATCATCTGAAAAAAATAAGTTACAGAAAAGCGATAAAATTTTAAACATCATGAAAGGTAAGAACAATAGTAAAAATATATTATTATAATGTAAATAATTATGATGATAATATAAAGTTTTAATTAATTATTGTTATTGTGTGTGTGTGTGTGTGTATAAGAAAAATAGTTAGAAATTAAAAAAATTTGATGATGTAAATAAGTGAGAAGAAACATAAACATTGGCATAAGGTTTAAAGAACCTAGCCCACTAAAAAATTTTGAATTTTGTTATATATATGTTATTTTCATAATAATTTTGAAAATTTTTTTATAAAAAAACTAGTTTGGCCTCCTCAAACTTAAATTTATTCTATTGATATATATTATTTTTTAATTTATATATTTATATTGGATATATAGTTACAAAAATTATTTGTATCTAAATATTACAACTT